TCTTCGGCCTCTCCGGTGTCGGAATCATTGGACTTGCCGTCATCCTCACCGTCTTCTTGCCGCCACCGCGCACCCTGAAGGACAAGGCGTGAAGACTACGAGCCGTGACAAGGGATTAATACCATGTGGAACATGTTTCCACGAATGGTTTCAGTGCCGTTGATGCCATGCTTCGGTGTGGCACGCGTTCTAAAGTATGTTGGGTTTGAGAGTCGCCTTATAGTCGAGGAATGCACTTTCTCCAGCAACAAGCAAGGTGTGCAAAAAGGAAGCTCGATGAGTCCCTTCAGCACGCACATCGCCAGTGTTTCCGTGAGCAGCCTGGTCGTCTTCGCAAAGTTGCCTCTGTTGTTGCAGGCAACTGTCTCGGTGACTGGACTCGACGAAGCAAAGGCTCGCAGCGCAGTCATTTCAAGAGTGGAAGGTTGTAGTCGGCTCCGAAGACAAGAGCTGTGCTCCGAAACGCGTTTTTTTCTTTAGAGGTCGGCTTTCCTTCAGGTCCAGGACTTGTGCCGCAAAGCCGTGGAAGCTGCCGCAGCCGGGGAGGCGCCAAGGCCTGGGCTCCGGAGTGCCAGAAATCTCGGAGCTTTTGCCAGGTCTGTCAAGTGAGCGGCTACTTGCACAAGCGAGGCTTCTTAGTGGGAGGCCAGTGTGTAGGTCCTGTAGGAGGAGTCATGGAAACATGGATGGAAATCGATTCAAACCTTTCTACTGCGAGGTACGAAGCTGGCAATGGAGGGCTTCCAGAAACTCGCCAAGTCTGCCAGAGCCATGCAGGTGACCCTCTGCAAGGCTCCATCTTTAGCAATGCTCACAGCAAGAGTAAGAGATGTGCGCTCCACTATCCTTTGTTAGAGTTTTGAGCTCCCCATGTCTTTCTATTCATTTGACAGTTGTTCCTGCCCGGGCTACATTTTGCTGCCATTTCTGCCCAGACACGTCGAACTGATCCAATTCGCAGAGATCTTCAGCCAAGTGAGACACGGAACACGGGAAGAGTCGAAGCGTGTCTTAGTCAAGTCTTAGCCTGGCGATGCTTTCGCGTTTGAGCAGAGATGGCGGCTTGTCGGAGCTCGGGTCCAAGACGGAGTTGACGTTCCGTGAGCCCTACTTCTTCCTACTTATTCTTCATATTTACGAATGGAAGAGGGCGTACAGTAGACTCTCGTTTTCTTAGACTGCGAAGAGCGCCGAAGGAGAGAAAGTAAGGTAGGCGGCAGCCAACAAGGACCTTCAAGCATGCCGGGTCGGAGTGCTCGTTGAAGTGGGGGTGGCATCCTCGCTTTTCACTATGTTGAGTACAGTATATAGTGTAAAGCTGAGTCAACGGCGCACTCTCCCCCCTTCATCCCGTAAAAGAAGCACGTCTTTTCCCAGAAAAGCATGCTCCAAGCCTCCAGGGAACCCAAGGAAGGCACGGCTAAGAAGGGAAGAGTCAGCCTCAAGGCTGGTCCGCTCGGAGCACAGGGCGGCGGCGCCCCCAGCATTGGATGTCACCAGCATCGAGGACGACGCGAGGCGAGGCCTCCCTCCGCCATCCTCTGACCCTCCGGTCTCAGTAGCTCCTTCATTGGAAGGTTGTTGCGGTTTGTGAGGAGTGCTTAGAGTGGCAAGATGTCGCGGATCTTCCGAGTGCTTGACTGTCAGGCTGAACGCGATTGCCGGCATGTCAGGATCCTTCTCCGAAGGCCTCAGCCGAAGGAGCCCAGTACCAGGCAAGCCTTCACGACGATAAGTCTGCGGACACTGCACCAGGCCGCTTGACTCCACACATCGGATCCACGTCAGCAGAAGGACGGGCGTGAAGTGGAGCTCTGCGTGTCTGATCAGAAAGAGTCCCAGCACTCCAGCGGGGCATGCCGCCATGCTCGTGGTCTTTTCTGCCAGGATCCCCGGAGCAGGTCCGCTCAGACGACTCTGCTCTGGTGCGGCCCAGAAAGCCCAGAAAGCCGCGTCTTCTCGCATGTTTTGTGGCCCTTCAGGCCGACTTGGTGGGTCCGCCTCGGACCCCTCGCACGCCCGCGAGGCTGGACCCCACCAACGGGCCGTTTGATACTCGTGCAGTAGCACCCCTGTCCCAGTACGAACTGGAAGGTGTATCTAGTCCTTCATGAAATAGTCATGCACACAACTCCGGCCGAGCTCCAGGCTGCTGGTGACGGACCATGTGGTGCGGGTCGGTGATGACTTCAAGCTGTCCAGGCTCATAGGACCCCAACAGGCGGGAAGAAGCATCACGAAGCTTCCCGGAGTATGAAGCCTTTTACGTACCGCTGTCTGCGTCTGGAGGCAGACAGCGATGATGCCGCGCTGGCCCAGCAAGCATGTTGTTTGCGAGCTGCACAGCAGGCATGATCCGAAATTCTTATGCTTATGCACATGATGGAAGGCTCTGCTTGTAGAATCGCCCCCAACCCGAGCTCAGCAATTTCGGCTCAAGAAGGGCCATGGAGTGGCTGAGACTTTCAGCCACGGCTGGGCAGCACGGGCTCGCGAGGCTCCAGAACCGGACCGCCCAACTGAGGAAGCCCAGGCCTAGGCCCGTAAAACGGCTGAGGACTTGATGTGTGAGCATCGAGCTGCCGGCAGCCTCGCGGATCCAGCGGTGAATTTGCCCCTGGAGAAATGGAGATTAAATCCATGGTCAGCCACGACCGCTATTCGATCCTTCTCAAGCCCGGAGCTAGTAAAGCATGCCCTTGCTCTCATGAGAGAAGGGCATGTTGAGACAAGCGTCTTCCATTGTTCTGCAGCCATGAACAGCTGCAGAGAGTGCAATGGCTGGACGGATGCCATTGGAATTCTCAACTGCATGCAACAGGGAAACATTCCCTACAATGAGATCACACACAATGTAGCTCTTAGTTCGTTTGCTGATGGTAGCAAATGGGCCAATTCATTCCACCATCTGAACTTCATGAGGCAGACTGCCGTTGAACCTACTCCTGTAAGCTTCAGCTCAGTGCTTGCCGCAGTTTCGAGGGAAGGCTTGTGGCAAGAAGCCCTCACCATCTTCCATGAGATGCAAAGGGAGATGCTGCGCACAGATGTGATGTGCTTCAATACGATCATCAGTGCATGTGGGCGGGGCGGTCAGTGGTTGTTGGCTATTGACCTTCTCGATCAATTAAAGTCGTCAACGCAGCCCACCGATTCAAGCTACTCTGCCACCATCAGTGCGTGTGAGAAAGCCTTCAAGTGGCAGCATGCAGTGGCCTTGCTGCAGGACATGGGCAAGACTTTGCCAGATAGTCGGAAATGCTACAATGCGGCAATCAGTGCCTGTGAGAAGTGCGGTCACTGGCATGTGGCGCTATCGCTCTTGCAGCAGATGGCTGAAGCTCGCATTTTGAGGGATCGTGTCACCTGCAATGCAGCCATCGGTGCCTGTGCCAAGTCCGCAAGCTGGCCGTCTGCCTTGTCTCTCTTAGAGAGCATGCCAGTATCCGCCCTGCAGCCCGGCACCATCACCTACAACACGGCGCCTCACCCGAGATTAACCGAGTCCGGGATATCCGGGATAGCATTCGGAGGGAAACCGGCGCCTGTGTTTTGCTATTTTTAACGAATAGACAGCAGTTGTCTAACGGTCTACTCCTGGTCTAAGTCTAAGAAGCTTAGATTAGTGAGGACACGGTAAGCAAAGCACACGCTTTTCAATGTTTGAAATTCGCCTTGTCCTTTCCGCCTAGTTCTACGCAGTCAGTCTAGGTTGTGTTCTTGGGCATGCATCTGGCTTAATTGTAAAGCGACTGGCACTACATTAAACTCAGTGCTGCTATTAATGCACACAGACTAACAGTCTAAATACAAGATTTGGGGTCTAAATACAGATTTGGGGTGTGTGCATAAAAGCTTTCCTAGTGCTTGAAAGTCGTAAAGTCATGGAGGAAGTCGATCATAGTGGAGTATGTAGCATACGCTCATTTTGTACCACCTCCGAATTCTGAGCTCATGGAAAGAATTAGGACATGTCTGAAAGTAGAAGAATCATGTCAACACTCTAAGCTCTATGCCATTCCTTAAACCCCTTGAAGGATGGGCAATAAGCAGATCCTAGGAAGGTATGCAATGTAATGTTTCGTGGTATAGACCTTCCGGTTCTTGGGAGACGCAAGCCTGTTCATCATGGATATACATCTAGTGATACTACAGTAATGTTCCGACGTTTCCGAAGAGTAGTCCCTAAAGTACATACTGAATTCCTAAGTCTTTATGACTACCATTGTTAGCTAGGTGATAGAAATGCAGGTCAATCGGAGCTACATTAACATAATCAAATCATGCCTACGTTCATTCATTGGCTCAAACCATTGTATTTAATTCGTCTATCGTCGCCTTGTGCCACCAGAAGGCCCAGAAAAAAAAAGAAACAGTTAAGCAAAGAAAAAACCATGCTTGCACTGGTTGGTTGTTTAGTCAGAACACATTTGTTCCTGCTGGGTTTCGGTTTTTATGTCGTTCGTCTCTTCACACCACAATAAAAGCAGTAGATAGTAAAGATTAGGTCGTGCCTTCTTCCGCTTAATGAACTCGTGGTTGCGCTGGTTTGCTTTTGTTGAACCAATCGAACATACACAAACAACTTCACCCCTTTTTTGGACACATCCTTATATTGTTGTTCCTAGCTTCGTTTCCTCCTTTGCTTTTGTTTCAAGTAATTGCGCATACTTTTCTCTTGTTTGCAAAGTACTGAAGCCAATGGCGACAAAGGGTTACTAGTAATTAGTCGTCGACTGCCCTGCTGCACTCCACTGCAGAAAAACCCAAAATCCAAGAAGAAATGCACACCAAAACAATCACAAAAAAGCATCCAAAACCAACAAAAGAGAATCAAAACAAAACAAGCATAATCCCTGAGGAGATGCCAGCCAGCCCGAGAAAACCAACATACAAAAAGAGCAATCAATCGATCACATTCGAGTGCATATTTTTGCTGGCGCACGGTAGTCGAGCTACGCGTTGACGGCAGCACTCCGGGCCGCTGCTGAGGACAAACCAAAACCAAAAGAACCCAAATCCCAGCCGAAATCCCAAACCAAAGAAACCAAAATAAAAAATAAAATCCAAGACGAAATCCCAAGCCAAAGAAATCAAAATATAAAATAAAATCCAAGAAGAGATCCCCAAACCAAAGAAATCAAGCAAAAAAACAACAAAGAAACCAAAACCAAAAAAGCAAATTCCCCGACGAAATCCCAACCAACGAAGGCACGTTTGTTGGCGTTGGTTTTTGTTTATATTATTGTTTCTCTGGTTTTGGATTCGTTGGTTTTGAATTTAGTTTGGGATTCTGCGGTTTTGGTTTGGTCTCTTTGTTTTTTGTTGTGTTTTTGGTGTCTTTGGTTTGGGATTTCGTCTGGGATGTTGGTTCTTTTGGTTTTGGTGTCTTTGGTTTGTTTGGTTTCTTTGTTTTGTTTGTTATTTTACTTTCTTTGGTTTTGGATTTCGTCTGGGATTTTGTTTGTTTTTTGGTTGTGGTGTCTTTATTTTGTTTGGTTTCTGTGGGTTTTTGGTACGATTGGTTTGGGAGCCACCGATATCTATGCGTAAGACTAGCAAATGCAGGCGCCGTTTTCCAACCCCAAACCCATTCGGAAGAACTCAGGTGCAGCATGCTGCTAGATTCTAGATGCTGCTGGATGCAGCACTCCGAGTACGTGGCAGTTCTTTCGGTTTGGTCACTCACGCCGAGGTCATCACGGTGTGCGAGAACGGGCTGCAGTGGCGTCTGGTTCTTGAACTTACAGATACGAGTCCAGGACGCTCGCACAACTAGTTGCATGAACTTGTATATATTTCTATGCCTATAAGTCAGGTAGGAAAGTGAAACTGACTCGGCAGGAGTAGCGGTCTCCGATGCTGAGCCCACGGAGTTGCACCACGCGATATGGCACCCTGCTGAATGTAGATTTGCAGAACGGGCAATGCTAAGCAGTCAGTTGCATCCTTGGGCCGGACAGTCAGAAGGCGTGTTCTGCAGAAGTCAGTGGTTTAAGGACATCGTGTGCCCCGTAATTCCTTACACGATCGGTTGATGCCCAGGCGGCTATCCAAGCAGCCACCATCGCGGTTCCTGTGGGAACAGGTTGGGAGCAACAACATTGACTTTGTCCGCCCCCTGCAACAGGGCAACGGAGCGTGCTGGTTTGCAATTTGTCATAAGATGGGACTTCCGTTGTAGTCGCACAGCAACCCTTTCAGGGAGAGGCAGCAGCCAAGCGAGCCAGTGGCATGGTGGGGAAGTTCAGGCCGAAGAAGCACCTCGCCAAATCTTCGTGTGTTCCTGCTCCTCTGGCACATAGGCTGACAGTGATGATGCTGCTGATGATGGCGTATGATTATGATTACGATGATGATGGTGATGGTGATGAATCTGGTGCTACCAGTATGATTGCCGTGATGGTAGTGATGATGATCGATTTGCATCGTGTCATTTCGCAGTTTGGGCTCCGCTTCGATATACGAGCAACACAGCCGAGGTTGGTCAGTCTTCTGAGGGCACTTGCCTCCATGCTCGCCGCTTCCCTTGGATTGTTGTAGCTTTGGGTGCAGACAATCTGAGCCCTTCCTTCCTGGCGGCTTACTCAAGCTTAGGTCACCGAGGAAGCGCTCTACCTCCAAGCTGCCGAGACCTTGACCTCTGCTGCGAGGGGCGCTGGCCTCCTGCAAGCGCAGGTCGGCGCTGAAGAGACTCACCGTTTTCAGAGAAAGAAGCAAACAACACAAACGCAAAAAAAAACAACAACAAAAACAAAACGACAAGAGGGCCTACTGAAGGCCACGAGAGAGATTCGAGATCCTGCACGGAGGAGCTTGCGAATCTTTGCTGGGCCTATGCAGTCGCTGACGCCCCAGGTGTGGGAAACTGACATGTGGTGTTGACAGCCTTAACTGCAAGCTCCTTCCTGGGCCAGGTTCGAGCACGATTTTCCAAGCGGTACAGGAAGCCTTCATCGAACGCAGAGCAGCTCGTTGCAGGTCATTTCTTTGAGGTAGCGTTGGCCAGTAAAAGTTGGGTTTGGATTGTCAAATTCCACAACGTCTGAAGAAATGGAGGGAATGTCGCACCTGCCCATGTGCGGAGAAGCATGTGGCTGCTGATGCCATGCTTGGGCTCAAGCTCACCAAGCTAACGGCATAGTGCAATAGCTTAGGTTTCCAAAGCCCGGCCCATGCCCTTCTCAGACATCCCAGAAAAGTAGGAGAGCCGGGGGGCCCCTCTTCGTTCAATGGCCTTTGCGCGAAGGGTCCCGAGGCTCGGGGCCTTGGCCTTGGCAGTTCTGACGTCTCCTTTGGCCTTGGCGGCCTTGGCATTCCTCCGGCTCCCCTACGAGCACCCTTTGGGCTCCGGCGCCAGGGCGCGGCTGAGGATCCCCCCCTTGAGAGCCCTTCAAGGTGACCTCGGAAATCTGCGAAAGCGCGAATTGATCGAGATGTTGACGAGCCACAACGTAGACGCCGCAGGCCTCACAAAGCCGGAGCTACTGCAGCGTCTCCTGGACCTTGACGGCGCTTCCACTACTGTTAAACCTTCTATGTCCCAGCGTCAAGTCGCAGAAATCGCCATGGACGATTGGCAAAATGCCACGACCGTGGGATTCGATTGCAAGTCAGGGAGGCATACTGCAGATGGGGTGGAGTTTGACATCATCGGGCCGACTGGCATGGTAGAGCACACGACCCGATTCTCCACTTCCTGGCCTCCTACATGCACCTGCCCGGATGCGAGACAGTGGGGCAGTCAGTTGCGGTGCAAGCATGTGTGCATGATCCTGGTGAAATGTGGAGTCCCTTATGCAGCAGTTGCTGATGACGACTGGAAGCCAGGCGAAATGGAAATTCAGAGTATCGTCCACCACATGAAAGGGCAATGGTCGCCCATCCCACTGCAGGATGCTTGAGGCATATGAAAAAATCGATGTCCGACCCTGCCCGAGTGTTCCATACCTTCCTGGAGCAAGTTCCGGCAGAGCCCAGGCCCTGACCTATGGATCCGTGCATCAAGATGATGCAGCAAGAGACTTTGCCGAAGGGCTGCAGCTGGGCACAAGGATTCAAGAGCTTCCGGCGAGTTGGATGATAGGGGGATTCTGTCCTGCCTTGGCTGCTAATGGACTCATGCAATGGACCAGCTAAATAGAACTGATCGGATGAGGCTGGGTTCGATCTGGTCACTCCGCTATGCTAAGAAGCTGTGTCTCGGCACCGAAAGTCTTTCGCTTGGCTTCAGCTTGAGACCGTTCGACAAGGTCGCCAAAGAACTCTCGTAACGACTGCATGGCTAGAGCACAAATCCCAAGTTGGCCCACATGGGCTCTGCCCCTGGCCGAGGCCGCAGAGCTTCCTGCTGTTTGCCCAGACGGCTCTGCAGCTCTTTCCGAAATCTTGTACGTTGTCGGCCAGCTGCTATAGCCTGTGGTTTCAACCCGACTCCTACCGCCACTCAAAGTTGCGTGTCTTGTCGAGCCCTAGGCCCTATAGGCCCTTTGTTCAATTCATATGAATGTTTACGTCCCCATCTCCGTGATTTGGCGACATGCGCCTGCTGCTGGCGGAGAAGCCTTAAGATTCCTGCTGTCATCTGAGTGTCGAACAGTTTCTACACATCCATGATTGTTGCATCGGCTTGGCCGCCTCGAATTTTGCTTCGGCGGGGCTGCTGCATCGACATGCGCCCAGGCAGCAGCTTGCAGGGCGCTCCTCTGCGGCACCCTGTGTCATGCCTACGGGCAGGCTTCGGACACAGTTCAGATGATGCACCGGTCAGATTCTCTTCCTCTTGGCTGGGTGAAGCACTCCGCAGGTTTGCCGCCCACTTGGATACGGGCTCCGAAGCCGTCCCGAAGCAGTTGCAGGAGATGCCCGGGGCCTTCGTGATTCACAAACCCGCAGGAGCGGCTTCCGGCCTGTCCTCAAGAGTCGGCAGTTGATGGGGGACGTATATTCTCCTAACGCACAGGCTGGTGCGTGGACCAGGGCGAAGAAAGCCTGGTTGAGGCGGACGAAGATGAGAAGATGAACTACTTGTCCAGCTTTGCAGCTGGGAATGCACCTCAGGCGGAGTTCCTTTGGATGTTCGACCCCTCGAGTTCTTGCGGGCACTTAGGTGTCAACGTTGATGCCGACTCGGCGCTGCACTATCCTCAGTCGGCCACTTAAGTATGACTCATGCACTCCGAAAGCATCTGTCCTGGGTTTTGGTGTGTCCGGCTGCCCCAGTCACGGCTAGTCATGCTAGTCTCCCGGAAAGACTATCCACCAACCATCCTGAAGAACAACTTCCACATGCCCAGGTGACAAGCTTTATTGGCGAGGCTTTTTGCATCGACTTGATGTGCCAACCTCAGGCGGGCGAACAGGGCATTTCTGTTTGAGTGCCATCAAAGACGCTCTACTTCACACCCCGTGATCCGAGAAGCGCGTAGAGTCGCAGAGTGCACAACCTGCTCCTAGGGCTCGGGCCTGGTCCAATGTTTACCTTCAGCAGTTAACTGGACAGTGCATGTCAACTCATCATGCTGGTGATGAACACAGTCTGTGACCGATCATGAACCCGGCGGCCACCACCTGGTGCGTTTGAGTAGCAAGGTGCGCCTCATCATCAGAATTTCACACCGAGTTCCTCTGATGCTGCAGGCCTGATACTGGCGGCGACCACCCACGACGTTTTCTACGACTTGCGACTGCAACTGGCCTGCGGCAGCTTTGTGCGAGACACATAGCTGCATGAAGCCAAGCGAGTTAGCATCGAACCATCCAGTCCAGCTGCCGACATGGCTGCAGCCTGCCCGCGCATCACGAAAGAAGAGTAATACTCGAAGACATCCGCAGGACTACCAGGTCCTTTGCCATGGATGGCTTCGTGGCCGCAACCATGTGCAAGCTGCGATACACTGGGTGAGCGATGGTCGAACGACCAGCAGCACGATCAGCCGGTCGCTTTGCTGCATGGTGCCAGGATGCTCAAGAATCCAGAAATACTTACCATGGAGGCTCCCACGATCTGATTCCCTCCTGCCCTTGGCTTGGGACACATCAGCACTCACGAACACACTGACTCTCCAGCCGTTGCGGCAACTGTCGTGCCCGCTTCACTGCTCCGAGGTTTGGTCGTCCGTCCTTTACGTGGATGCGGCTGTCGGCATCTTTCCTGGTAACGTCGCAGGTCCTGAGCCTGTTTCTCATGCGCATCGCCACCGGGCGGAAGCATCAAATACGGGTGCACTCTGCCCATGTTGGCCATGCTGTCGTTTGTGACGGCAGATACTCCACGACTAGCACCTACCACGCTGATCTGAAATGGTGTCCTCGCAACTTTTTGCATCGTTCCCGTCTGTGTTTTACGATCAACCATCGGACCATCGATATTGAGCAAAGGCTCCCCGCGGATTTGACGGGTGCACTTCGTCTCTGCATCCAGAGAGAGAGCAAGGAGAAAACAAGCCAGCGCGTTGCAGCCGTTGTGTTAAGTTTCGGCGAGTTTTCATGCAAGCACCGCATGCCGATGGCAGCTTGCCGAGCTCAGCCGGCCTTACGACAAAGCTGCGGAGGCAAGTCCTGCGAGCATTCAACACATCTTCAGAGCACCTGGTCTGTCCTGATCAGCCATCTACCATTCTGGATTCAGTGTGTTGGTTGGCGCCTCTTCGAATCCGTCCAAAAGGCATGGGTGGAATCAGGTGGAAGCCATACTCCGGTTGCTTGCTCCGGCACACACAAGAAGGCGCAGAGGCCTCCATGGACATTCGACCCTGTGCTGTGGAGGTTTTGGGCAAGATTGCCCAAATCAGGGCTGAACGGCAGCAACGCGATAAGGACTGCTGCAGCGGGAGTGCGCATGCAGATGCCTGTTCGTGCTGCCACCTGATGCAAAAAAGACAGGACTTTGCGATCCTCCAGGACATCATCGGCCCGACACCACCACCTCCGCCTGAGCCGGGTGCTCGAGGACTCTGAGAACTTGAGCGGAGGATGGCAATGCTGTATTAGATGCAAACTGTGCCAAAGGCCTTCGCGCAGGATGACGTTGGTGCTGCGCAAGGCTATGTGTCATGTATAGGAGTCATTCTGGGCATAGAACTGGTTGAACTGTCATCTCAAAGCCTCGACCATTGCCTGTCAGATTCCTGTCATCAGCTTGAAGTACCAGCGTACGCGAATCGGGTCGCCAGGATCTTGGCAACAAGTGTTGACGACAGAGAAGATGTCAGTTAGTCTCTGCAGAGCCAGGACCACAGGCTGTAAAGTGAGCACGGGCCCACAGATCGGTCTTGAGGCTGTGCTACTTCGCCAGCATCGGGGACGCACCCAGCGTGAAGTACTTGCTTGAGCAGGTGACCACGAGCTTCCAAGCAGTAGCTCGGAAGCTCCTTCAAGACTGCGCAACCTCACGCGAGGCCAGGCGAGGTGGCGACGACTTTTTTGTCAACAGTTCTCCGCCCAGATTCGCGGTAGTCGATGCCAGGAAGTGCAAACACACACACACACACAGACACACAGACACACACACACACACACGTGTAGATTCCGGTCGAGCCGGTTGTCATCTTCTCTTCTCTTTCCTCATGCATCTCTTGGTGCTCATCGTCCATTTTTTCTTTTCTTCAGCTTCTCGGTCATACTGGATAGAACTATTCTAAGTGAGCCTGTGAGACCTGTGCAAAAGATCACTGTTGTGAGAAACTAGATGCAATACGAGAGTTTCAATAGTTGAGGCCTCGAGTCCAAGATACATATAATATATGTATTATGTATATATACATATTTACATACATATGCACATCTCTTGAACGAATGAGAAAAAGGCAGATACAGAGCTATGCGTCCATAGCTCCTTCCACCTATTCCGCTAGCTTCGTTTCTGGCATCACGGAATAGGCTGCCAGCCCCCTGCATTTTCAATCGGTTTTCATATCATACTGCAGAAGAGCAAAGATACAATCCTAAAGCAGTTCAATGACCAAACCTAATCTCCTTAGGAACAGGATAGTGTTCGATGATGTGTATGTGCAGCATCCGGCCGGGATTGCAAGTGTGATTGCAAGCTTTCGCCACCTGAAAGTGCAAGGGGAGTTTGGGCAGGTCCGATTTCAGGCGCGAGTCTCTAGAGGAGCAGCCGGGGCAGCTTTGATTCCCAGCTTCGCATCAGGTGTGGACGATGAAGTGTGCAGGCGCACTGCACTACATTACTGCGCCATCGAGGGCAACGTGGAGGCCATGCTCGAGTGCAGATAAGCGGTCTGCTCACTGCACCACGCTGAGGTGGCCGAGGCCCTGCTCCAAGCCGGGGCAGACGTCTTCCTCCGTGACAGGGAGGAGCAAAACTACCGCTCTTCTTACTCAGGGCCGTTCACTGCAATCATCGTAGGCTCTCGAGCTCCAAACAGAATTAGTTTTCCGTGCTTTGCAGAGTCTGATGAGAGGATCGCACTCCGCTGCACCTGGCGGCAGCGATGGGTCAGGCGAATTTGCTTTTCTGCACCGAGGAAGGGTTCGTGTGTTGATTGCTTTGAGCGATGGGGACTCTAGTTGCAAGCTGTTACAGGAAAGCTCCGTCTCGTTGTCTGCTCCGTCCGTGTAGAAAAAACCGCAGAGGTGGGCGTTGCCAGGCAGCTGCTCGGAACTTGTCTGTCAAGGCCTTGAAAATACTTGCAGGGTTGTTACGTGTTTGACATCTTGATCGAGAGAGGTGGCGTTAAACCTGCTGCAAGCCAGTGAGGCAGTTGTTGGGATTCGGGCCAGGATCCGCGAGGCAATGTTACAGCGATTTCGCTCAGAGAGCAGGGGCCCCAATTACTTGGCGGTTCAGCCCCAGGTTCTGTCGGGTAACTTAGACTTGAGAACTTTGCTGTTCTGGCAAAACAAGAATAATCTGCAGCCAGCAGTGCAGCCCCAGCCACCCAGCAGTTGTGACAAGCAATGCCGAAATTATACCGCGCTTCTCGACATTGCGAGACAAAGCAATGCGGCATGACCTTCATTGAACGTAACTTTCGCCGTCATTCGCCGTCTAGTCTTGGGAACTCCATCTCCACATCGTTATTGTGTAAGACGTTATGCAGCTGCGGTCGCAGCTGAGGACTCGAGCCAGCAGATCCATGGGAGGACGCTTAGCTTCCGGACTTCCTTATGATCTTACAATGTGCGTGGGCTATCAGGAGAGACTTGTCGGGAAGCCTACATGATCCCCACTTGTTACTTGACCTTGCTTACTGTCGCAGGTGACTTACTTGTCTCTGGACACCTGCAGACGGCACAATCCATGTGCAACTGAAGTTCCACAATAATCGTAGTCTCAGCAGGAAGCTGCAAGGCTTATTCAGCCCACTGCAACAACGACAACACGAGCAAGACAAGCAAACACTGGTAGCACCAGCTGTCGCCGCTATCACAATCATCATCAGCAGCAGCAGCAGCATTATCACTATTTTGAGCAGCGCAGCTAACATCCTGCAGCCATCCACGACTCTTTACTCTCGGCATCCGTCCGCGTAGGATCCGTCGATGGCCGACCAGCGCGCCGCGAAGCGTGTCATGGTGCCTCCAAGGGTGTGTTTGATCTGTGTTTGGACTGCTTTGAGGGCTAGATCTCTGCAAAAAGCCTCGAAGCTTTGAGGATGTGGAGGTTTTAGGGCTTCTCATTGAGGCACCTTTCGTGAAGAAACATCGTTGAGCCACACCGGCAGGAGTCGACCCGATCACTCTCGACCAACTCTCCCAAACTCTTTCCTGCCCAAGCGGCCCAAGCGCCAAGCCCCAAGCCAGGCGGAGTACCTCCAAGTGCTGGAGGAGACACGGCGGCACCTCTGCTTGTCCGAGGCGGCTTGGCACTGTTCCTTCAGTATGTCGAATGAGAAAAGTGGCCCGCGGCGCTTAAGAAGTACTGTTGAGAAATAGGACGATGCAGCATAGTGGGTTCATATGCTGCTTTGAAGCATAGTTCGTTCTCAGTGCTTTGCGACGAACTGTCAGGACCGGCATCAGTTCACGTGCCTCCACTACGCCGTGCGAGACGCCTATGCTGGCTGCTTTCAGATACTCAAGCGGCTGCCTCAGATCTCGGGCATGTTGCAGCGCATGCACTGGGAGCTCTCATCGCCCCACAACTCGCCGGGTGGGCCCACGAAACAGAACTGCGTCAGAGCTTCTTTGAGGCTTGTCCTCGGCAGCTTCTTTGAGTTTCCACGGACACGGCCTCAAAGACTCAGAGGAACTTGGCCTTGGGACATCTCGGAAGGGCGGCCCCCCTCCCCGGCAGCCTGCCCAAGGGGACGGGAGACTGACTCCATCATGATGACGAACAAGCTCTTCGAGATTCAGCCAGGGTGGGGAGCTGCTGCAAGGGTGGGCCGCTTGCAGTGGATTTCTCACAGGCCCGGGCTCTTGAAGCTTCTTTCCGGATTTCTCCTGGAAGAGGAGGCTCCTGGGTGCTTTGCTTGGGTTCACACAGCAGTGGTATCTGATCCGAAGCAGGTGGCCGAACTGTAAGAGACTGAACCATGCGCTTCTGTTTCGTACATCCTCGATCCTTCTCTGGCTCGTAGCCATCCGGCTCGGGGATCCCGCCTAGCCAGCCTTCCGCTGAGCCGACTCAGGCGTGCCGCCCGATAGTCGTATGTCAGGGCAGTGACGAAGAGGTCTTATGGGTGAGAATCATTTCACCTAATCATGCACAGCCTGTCGTGGCCTGGACTCTCAATAATCGCTCTTATTGTAGGAGTGTTTGCTGTTGGGTCCGAAGGGTTGAAGTTCGGGTTAGCGTCGAAAAAACGCAAACGCTTCAAGAAGTGAGTGCGGTAGAAGAGCAGCTACACGAGCAAGCCCTGCCCAGACCGGGCATCAAAAGAAGTTGAATGTGAGAGACAAATCATGATACAACTCTGTACACCCATAAAGAGCGGGCGGTAGAGACACTGAGCCTGCCAGAGCCAGGGTGCGACCAACCCCGTCGTGGCCAATCATGCCACCTTATCCCGTTGAGAAAATGCTGATTCAGCCAGGAGTTGAGAAGCGATGGGCAAGACGCGCGTGATCTCGAAAGGTTACCGCCACGGAACTCGCGACAAGCAGCTTGCTTCAGCTTGATGAAGAGCGTTGCAGGGCCCAGGGTTTCAACCTGAGCTGCAACAGTTTGCCAAGCAAATGCTGGATGCAGACCGCTTGCCGTCGAAGTCTGCAGTGAAGTTTGCAGATGATGGTTTCCCTACGACCCAGACACGCAGAGGTTCGTCCGACTACAGTAGTGTCCGACTTGAGATCTAGGTATGACGGTCGAAGGATTTGCTGGAAGTTGAAAGTCAGGAAGCCCAAAAACGACTTGCCGCAGAAAGATCTCTGCTGTCCGTCGTTTTGGACTGACCTGGACTCGAATGACTCTCTGTCGCATGCCGAGGTATTCCAAGAAGTACCGCACGAAGGGCAGGTTGCTGATTGCACGATACGTTCATTTAAAATTTGGTCTCAGTCATGTTTATATGTCCATTGTCTTCCATTCCTTTGCCATTCGCAGCCACCTGCAGACCTGGCATCGCTCGCTACCTCGTCAACTTCAAGCGCGGAGACTATGTCGACATCGTGGCCGATCCCTCCATCCAGAAAGGTCGAACATAGGCGTTTGCCCGAGGCTGTGACTCGCGCCCCTCTTGACAGGATTGCCCTACTCTCTTTATCATGGACGCACTGGCATCGTCTTCAACGTGAACCGCAATGCCCTGGGCAACGGCCTCTAGAGGGCCGTGTCCGCAGCTGAAGCTCCCATACTGCATACTGAGGCGTGGAAATCACCAAGGTGGTTGGCAACCGCCAGCTGCGCAAGCGACTCCACGTGCGGGACCCTCAGGGCGGGGCAGACTCTAGCCTGGTGACCTAGTGGCCTGAAGTAGCTGCGCCAGAAAGTCATAGATGGACGTTTGTTGATGGATCCAGGCGCATCGAGCACGTGCGCAAGTCTCGCTGCAACGAGGCCGTGGATTCCCAAAAAAGCCACCGTTTGCTGTTCTGCGAGCTTGGCCACTTGCAGCAATTGCCGGGCTGCTTTTTCAGGCATTCAAGAAGCGCGTCAAGGAGAATGACCGCAAGAAGCAGCAGGCGCAGCTCTGCCGGTCTTCCAGTGCCGATACTTTGCATTTCTCAAGGCCAAGCTCGAGGGCAAGTCCATCGTGGTGAAGCGCCAACCAGAGGGGTGCTGGGCTCTGCAATTTACCGCACGAGCAGCAGCACGAAACCCCTGACGCCATAAAACCACAAGGAGGGTGTTGTGCAGGCCGAAACCGAAGAAGATGGTCGAGGCCACCCCGGATGAGATTGAGGCATCGCGCGCGCATGCAGCTGAAGCATCGCAGAAGAACAGGCCCTGCTTTGTCGGAAAAGGTCCTGGCGCCCCTCCCCTTCGTCGAGAATTACTTCTGAGGGCAGAGACCAATGGCCGGCCTTGATGGAGAAAGTTCAACGTTGCTGAAGGGTGAAGAGCTGTGCCACGTTTGGATGTGCACATGCCATCACATGCCCCTGGACTTGGACTTACTTTGCAGGTTACTGCTATTGCCCATCAGCACGTCAAGCGGCCGCAGACGCAGACTGACAGGAGTCACTATCAGCGATTCCTGGCACATTGAGCGTCCCAGGTCACAAGATCTTCTGTTGCAGATCACGAACCACCGCGATGTCCAAGGCTCGTTGGACACGTCAGCAGCGGGAGACCGGAGCCCTTGGCAGTGGCAGAGGCCTGACACCTCTCCACCATGCTTCGGCCTTGGGGAACTACCGAGCTGTTCAGGCCCCAAGCTCCCAACAGCCCGAGCGCAAGTGGTTCCTTACAGAGTAGCTATCTTCGCTTCTGCAGGTGCTTGTTGCGAACGGTGCTGACAGACTGGCAAAGGCAGCATAGCTCGATGTGACTGTAGACGCTTTACCGATTCATGGTCATGCCCATTAGCCGGCTCCTACCAGTCACTGGCCGCAGGCCGTTCTGCCCGACGCAAACGACAAGGAGGCATCGCTGGGTTGATAGACCCAGGAGCGGAAGGGTCGTAGACACGGGCTCCATGAAAAAAAGCGAGCACTCCTTGCCGTCAGGCCGCAGCCTCGAGGCCACCCTCCAGTGCCACGCCCCTCGACCTCGCCAAGGCGGTGCTTTCAGAAGTTTTTTGCAGACTTCGGCATTCCATGGCATTCCCCTGGTCCGCATCAGGACACCACGACGGCCCAAGCACTCTCGTCGGGCGCAGGTACCCGAAAAGTACACATAGCGAAAGCTGCCGAGAGTAGCTCGTGCAAATGCGCTCGGACAGTTGAAGAGACGGTGGAGAGCCTCCAATCCGCTGTGGCCCCGGCATTCGGAGCCTCACATTCCAAAACATCTCCCGAGGGTTTTCTTACATCCGCGGTGCGAAAATCGAATCTCAGGCTCAGAAGGTCAACGAGCCTGGACCCTGGTGGGATGACGTCAGGCATTCTGCTGCACAACCTGCCGAGTGGGTTTCGGAAGTACGAGTGGCGAATTTAAAGTCACGGCTTTCGAGGGTGTTGATTGCTCGCAGAGCTTTGAATGAAGCGGAAGTGTCCAAAAGCGGACAAGCACCCTACAGTGTTCCTGCATGAAGACAGTTGCTCGGATCATGCCGCAACTATTTGGCTTAAGACATGCCAAGAGCCAGTCGACGCAACGCCCTTGGTGCGTTGCGCTGTGGACTTAGCGTTGAAATGGAATCACCCATGCTAGAATTAGAATCCGCAAGACACCGAGGACCCAAGAACAGCCACCAGAGCACCCACCAAGGTCAAGGCACCTTCGGGGGCAGTCCGTTGCGGACATGCCGTACATCACCATGTGTCAAGGCCAGAGCACCATGGTGAGAACAACTCAGCTGATTTGAGCCGGAAACCCTTCAGCACAGGCCCAAAATGCACTGCAAACGGTGCAGGGCTGATTATCAGGCAGGGTCACCTCAGCGCAGCTCCGAGCCATGCAACATGCAGAGTCGGGAATCACGGTCGGCACCCTGAAGGGATATGGAAGACCTGGCTTTCGGCTGTGCGACGGTCGAAGCTTCAGGCCCATTACAGCCGATGGCACCTTTTGTAGACTCGAAGTAGCGTTTCACGCTCAGAAGCTAACGGGAGGAAGGCTTCTGGGCAGAACGACCTGAGAACACAGGGAGTCTTGAACTGTAACTCGCAACTTTGACTTGCAAGTCCCTGATACTGATCTGCAGGTTGTATGGGTCAATGCTCCAAAGGACCTAACGGAATGTACTCCGCCGCCCGGCTGAGCAACAGTGAAACCAGTGGGCTTTTCCGTTGCGCTGCTTCGGCCAAGGGGTGCTTGCACCGCTCTTTCCCAATTTGCACAGCATCCGCATGAAAGATCCGAGGAGAAGTCAGGAGCAAAGGGAAAGATCACCAACAAGCTGAACAAGTACAGCTGCTTTGATGCAAGGAGCAAGGCTAAGGCTGTACGTCGTAGCGCTCCTTTGCAGCAGAGTGTCTTTTCCCTTCCGTCGGTTCTCGTTTGAAGTTTGTCTTTGCCCGGCACCACCCATCTGCGACAGGGCAAGAATGCGAGTCCCCGGAGCCTTTGATCGGGTCTGGCAGGAAAGTGTTAGCTGTTAGCTGTTACTGACCAAGGCAAGCTGACTGACATGATCGGCGAGTTCATCCAAGGCAAGTCTCCTGCACTGCCATAATGGCGAAGCCCTTGAAGGAATTTGCTTGTCAGTTCCACATGCAGGCTTTGCTTTGGATGACATGCAAGCCCGGGCTGGAACCTGAGAGAGACATTCGAGCAAAAGCCAACCCGATGTCTCAGAAACGACTTTTTTCCGGCAGACTCCTGGCCTGGCCTTTTTGCTTCCTGCAATCAGGTTCATCGGGTGAAGTTTGCGATACGGCGAGAGGAGAACGCCGAAGTCCGGACCAGTGCGATAGAAGAGACTTTGCCTGCTGTCTGCAATCCAGAGTCCAAAGCTGCTCAACCTCATAACCAGCTTCACGCTGTGAACCTGACATCTTATCAGGGGCTCCATCGATGACTCGCAGCGCGCTCTACATCCGGAGCTTGTAGCCCAGCTGCTGTGCCTCCGGGCACGGGAGAATCTGAAGGCAAGATCCTGCCGGTGCCGGAAGTTTCCCAACGCGCTCTTTGCGCGTGTCTTGCCAGTACCAATGAAATCTTCAGCTCCTACAGTGACATGGTTCAGGAGTGTAAGTTTTACAAGTCTAGGACAGGCTACTGGGCCCAGTGCTTGGTTCGTGCCGTGGTTCCGTTGCGAGACCAGCCTTCGGCCGACCCTGGAAAGGCGGATGCCGTCGGGGCGTACAAGGACCTTCGGGAAGCCCTGGAGCCTTGGCTTCACAGAAGTACCTGCCAAAAACACTTCGATTATATGGGAAGCCTGCCCGGCCACCAAGACTTTGCATCCGGACTGGCCGTGGGCCTTCGTGACCTTGGCGCAGGCCGTTGGAAACATGGCACTCGTGCTGTGGTTTTCGCCGGCATTTGTCCAGGTCTTGGACAACCTGCATATGCCCCGAGGGGCAGCCTGAGCTGCAGTTATGCTGGACGGATCAAGGGTCAAGGGCTCCGCAAGTTCCGGACTCGCCGATTCCTTTTTGCCTTGCCTTTGGACGTCTTCTTGCATCTTACTCTGCCTTTCATACTGTCTGTATCAAAGACTTGGGGCGAAAATGGAACAGCAAGGCCCTCGCTTGCATGCAGAAAGCCATCGAGATTGGCACCGGAGCAACCGGACAGCAAGAGTGTGTCAGCGGTCCTACCCGCTGCGTCAGAGCCCCGATCCATGGCAGGTAGACAAGAATTCCCTGCAAAGGCCGGAGCTGACGGCAGTGCATCGAGACCCAAGCGAGTTTTAGTTGAGCTTGTTGCCCTGTGCTTTCTTGCTTTCAGGGGCATCGTTCGCCTAGAGCGCAAAGCAGCCGATGCCAAGGGCCCGGACCCGGTCCCAGCAGGCCGGGGCCCGCAGCTGCGAAAGAGCCGACTTAGAGGACTAAGAGAGCTAAGAGCTGCTACGAGCTGCTTTAAGAGCTGCAGGTGTCGAGATGGACATTGCAGCGATCAAGGACAAGTCCTTGGGCGGAGGCGGTGCCTCCGACAAGAAGGACAAGAAGGAAAAGTCCGATAAGGAAGCCAAGAGCAAGCCCGCCGGAAAAGCAGCCAGCAAGGCAAGATTGGTGGTGTGGGTGCACGGGTGCTTGGAATTTGCCGTGAGCCCAGGCGAAGACCGGCAAGGGGAAGGCAAAGGTTGTCAAGGAGACGAACAAGGCACTCGCAGAATCTCGCAGAGTTTCAGAGCTCGTCTGCCCTCCACGGCCCTAATCTGAGAGGTCGCAGAGGAGACGGCAGCGGAGGCTCCCAAGGATGAAGCCAAGCCGGAGCCTCCTCTGGAGGAGGTCAAGGAGGAGCCCAAAGAGGTGAAGGAGCCCAAGGAGGAGAAGAAGGAGGTGGCGGTGAAGGAGCCCAAGGAGCCGAAAGAGGAAAAGAAAGAGAAAGACAAGGAGAAGAAGCACAAGAAATCTTCTGCAACTCGGCCATGCCCGCATCACTAGAGGGGGCAGCAATTTAAGGGCTGCATTACACGGTGCAGCAGAGCAGACACGGCACCAAGGGCCACAAGAAAAAGAAAGTGAAGAAGGACAAGGGAGAAGAATACCAGGACAACTGCAAACATCGGTGGCGCAAACGTTTGACATATCAGTCATGATGAAGTGGCTCAAGCATGTCGCCGATTGGGCCGGCATCCCTTCAAGCTACCGTACCCTGCCAAACTCCCACACTACGAAAGACGTGTCATTTTCCGGCTCCTGAGATCCGGCGCAAGACACCGAAGATTAGCGAAGAAACCAAGAAGTCCATCTTGCGAGGAATGGCAGCTCCGTGAGAGGGAAGAGCTCAACCACGCGTCGGGGCTGCAAATTCGGTATTTCTGCTGTGCTGGGGCGGAAGCATGAGAATCCATGCAGGGGTTGAGAAGCACACAGTCATGACGACTTGCATGCCGTTGCTTTTCGCTTTGCAGTCAAGGATTGCTTGAGGCGGGCGGGTTGCAAATGCAAAGCGTGCGGCACACTCAGAAGTTGACGAGAAGATCAGCTCTGACAGCGAGCTGTAAGTGTTCATGAGATCCAAGCCTGCCATCAGCCCCTCGTGCCTCGTGCAGGATGCGCTTTGCTTGCAAGGGCAAAGCCGCCTCCAAGTTCGAGTCCACCATTTGGCACATCGACCTGGCGGCCAATGTCGGCACTTTGGCATGTGATGTGATAGGGGACTTTCCGAAAATTAGGGTACCTTAATTAGGGGTCAAGGATCCTACGTACTAGTTAGGGCAGTTAGGGTACCATGTTAGGGTTCCCTGTTTTCGGAAACCCCCATAGGCTGGTGGCCTTCGTGAGCCGCTCCAGGGATGCTTTACATGGAGCAGGGCACAGAAGCAAGATTACTTGTACTAGTTACTACTTGTCAGACATCGATTGGCCGGAGCCTGGAGACTCGGGCTACCCGCGAGGCTGATGTAGGATCCACTAGCTTCCAAGTGGCACCTCTTGGCCGATGACCAAAAAGAAACCCCCGACGAATCCAGACGGCATGCCTGAAAAACGTGGACTTTCACGGCACGTAGAATGTCGTAGAATTGAAATTGAGAGCCTGATGAGGAATCTCGTGGGCCTGCTCCTGAGGTGACGATGGGGAGGAGATCCAGCGATCCTACACCCCACTCAGTTCAGCGGAGGATTACAAGAAGGCCTGCAATGCCTCCAAGGGTTCTGATGTGCTAAAGATGAGACACCGTCTTCTGCTTCCTTGTGACGACGCCCTTTTGGTGCGAGACATGCTCAGGGGATCCTGGAGCTCATCATCAAGGCCCTTGTTTGGCGTGCGCCGCTTCAAAGCCCGGACCATCCGCTTGGGAATTGCACCAGGTCTATCCGAAAGGGAGGATGTCCGCTCACCTTGGGAGAATGAAGAATGGCGACTCAATCCTGGTGCCAGGGCCTCAGCAACTTTGGATCCAGAGAATTAGACAGTGCAGTACGGCAATTTCAAATTCCAGCTCAGACAGCCAGACAATCATGCTTCTGCGACGGATATCTGTTGTTAGTGCCTTTGCAGAATTCTGGCTTCCGCGAGCTTGTGCAAACGGTTTCGTCAGCCGGCCTCGACTTTCATACCCTCTTGAGCCTGAATTGTAAATGCATGCCACCGGCAACTCGGTAACGAGAAGCTCAATGGGGAGATTTTTTGACGAACACGTTGGGGCCCTTGAAAGCTGGTTTGCATCAATCGGCGTCGTGGCCTTTCTCCGAATGTTTGCCCTACTACAAATCCGTTTGGAAGGGCACCTTGCGAACAACTTGTGAAGCCCGATGTGCCACAACCGCCTGGCAAGTGCAAAGGTCGCGTCCGGTCCCCACCGTGGATCCCGAGGACTACAAGGAGGCTCGTACTCCGGGAGCCGTACAACTCGCTGGTCCTTCAAATTTGGCGTGTCGTCTCTCTAGGGCCCAGGTTCAGAGAGGTCAGACGCCAGCAGGCAAAGACTAGCTGCCTAGCACGTCTCCAGCTCCTAGATAGATTGCCCACACCTGACTCTCACTTGCTGCAGACCGACTTGGCTGTTCGAAGAATATGCGGGACAGTAGGTCACTGGATCAGAAAACCCTTAACTGTGAGAGTCTGCAGGTTCTGCACAGTTCATTCTGTCAGGGAGTCTCAAATCCCTTGCACCCTTGTCGTATCGGTGTCTAAAAGATTTTCGTTGCGCCATGGGATCGGAGACGGGGGATTTGGAAGGGGACTTCCGATACATGTGTGAGTTTTGTGGTAAGCTGGAAGCCGCTGACAAGCTGCGCCGCTGCACAACCCCAGACGTGGAAGAGCCTACCCGCTGCTACGCCTGTGGCGAGCCCACTGAGTTTTCCAGCAGCCAAGCCAAGAAGGGGAGCCGAGCCCGATGTGAGACGTGCGTCCAAAGGGGACGCAGACGGCGTTTTGAGCCTTTCAAAGAGCTGGCGGAGTTTGGGAATCCTGCTACTAGCAGGCTGGTGAAGGCAGTCGAAGAAATCAACGAGGCCCTGGTCCTGACGCTCCTGGAGCAGGAGGAAGCCGGCTTGGTCGACCAAGCCCGCCAACTGAGGCTCCGTGTCCCCGTGGAAGGCTCAGCTTTAATGTGGCGCGCTGCTCACGCTTCCGATGGCCGACCCGTCCATGAAGAGGCTGCTGGGCAGCCTACGACCCCCTTGAAAATGGCCGTCTTCCGTCTGTCTGATTGCTGTTTGGATGAAGCTGCCCTCCAGAGACTTGTCAGGATTGCACAGGCTTTGGTCGAGCACGGTGCCTCGAGGGGTCCTGCCAAGGACTATTTTGAGAGTCGCTACGGGCCGGCCGAGCCACTCGGCGAAGAGATCAATGCCTTCACCCAGCTCTACGCGATTCTCAGCACGTAAAGCATCTTTGTTGCTCTCGTTACTCGTTGTACAGTGTACAGATCGGTAGGGCAGCTGGGAGCTTCCTGTCCTCTCGCAGTCTCACAAGCACTCGTCAATCCCAGAACTTCGAACAGAGAATGGCGGTGTCCACCCGAACTCGACCTGCGTCAGGGTGGCATCATGATTGCTGGCGGAAGTGCCGTGGTGGTCGCCTTGCAGGCAGTTCGGCTTGCGTTTGCATTGACCCTGGAGCCTGGCATCTCTTCGATGGAAATCTTGGCGGTCTCCTGAGTGCAGGTGGTTAATGCGATCCTTCCCAACTGCACGGATTCCTTCCATCTTTATCTGCACCTTGGACAGCAGGGAGCAGCCAACAGATGTCTTTCGGATGTCCGGTAGAGTCGGTGCAGCAAGCTCACTCCGTTTGCGTGTCTGCCGTGACTATGGCATGATGCTGTAGCTTGGAGGGACCTGTGGCGTCATGCAAGTGCAGTCATCAATGTGAGAAGCCCCTTGCAGGTGTAATAGAACCTATGCCGACGTCCTTCTCATGGATTACTTCGAGCAAATCCTGAAGGTGGAAGCCCTCATTGCAGATAATGATTATGTTGATGACACTAGGATCAAGTCATTGGCAGATGAGCCGGAGGCTACTCACGGTGGCATCTCGCAGCATGAGCATGATGCCCACTCCACATCACCGTGGCGCGCTCTCCTTGTCTGTGTGGATTCTGTGCAGCATGCAGGCTTATCCGAACTTCAAAATGACGAACTGCTTGTCACAGGCCCGACTGACACTTTTCGCAGCAGTGATTCGTGACTGACATGAAGGGTCCAGGCCTAGTGGTGAAGGCATGGAGTTACGATAATATGCATGCGAGCTCTTCTTGTCTCAGAGGCCCTTCGAAATCTGCGAAACTCCCACAAGCACATGCCTCTGCAGATACTCCCCAGAATGCATCGAAAGGAGGTCGAGGGCTTCAATCACTTTACGGTTTGTCGTATTCAATCAAGCTCCATCAAGCAGTGTGATGCGCTGATGAAGTCACCTGAGAAAATCTCGCTGTAGGTATGCTAGCACGGAGAGCAGGAAGCCAAACTCCACCTCTAGTACAGCCTGCAGCCCCATTGCCTTCGATGGTCAGGGCAAAGTTGCCGATGAAGCGCGTGGCCAAGGCCTTGTCGGATGGTTTGAAGGCCTGGACCCTGAGAGGATGCGTAGCAGGAGATCTGCTTGCAGGCTTTGTTGCTGTTACGATCTGCAATGTCGGCAGTGCTGTCTCGTAGGCAAACACAAGTACCCAGCCGAATTGACGCTTCTCGAACTATGATCAATGCAGATCAATGGACCCATTGCGAGGCAGAGTGAGTGGCGACTTGCTCAAGCAGGCCCCTGACAGCCTCAAGGCTGGGTCGTGGCCGCGAGTTACCAGCTTCCCTTCGGGTTCGGACCCTTGTGTCAGGTCCTGATGAGTGGTCCGGATACTTTGTGCAAGATGGTCGCCGAGACCTTCATAGAGCTCGGCCGGCAGGAAGACAAGTGAGAGCTCCAACTCTTGCAGACGTGACATGAGAAATATAGTTGGCAGGAAGACGACATATGTTGTGGAATCCCCAGCAGCTGGTGCGTGTCGATTTCCCGGAGCCCTTGGAAGCAACATCCACCATTGCTCAGGTCTGGATACCGATATAGAGGACCTGCTGAATCCAGAGGCCGACCGCATTTTTGGCCGAGTGCTGTCGAAAAGGAATGCAAACGAAGCGAACAGAGAGATTTAGTGCTTTTGGTTTCTGGAGGCCAAGAACGAGGGCTTCACGCTTCAGAGCGCGCGGTCTGCAAGAACCTTGGACCCACCTCCACCCGAGCCGCTCGAGCCCGTCGAGGAAGTTCCCCGGGCCAGGATCAAGGCAGGACCGCTTGGAATTCCCCCGTGGAATTTACTGGGCTTATAGGCACACTAACAGAGAGAGAGAGAGAGAGAGAGTAGCCATTTTGGCTCAAGCCGCGAGTGGTTCAAGGCCTGAGCCCGAGGGAGAGAGAGAGGAAGGCCTCTAACCGGGGGCGCGTGAGGGAAAGCCAGTGGGATAGGGGGCCATCGTCCTCGCAGTCAAGTTTGCAGCCCTACGCGACCTCGCCCCGGGGGTTCTGAGGGACGAGATCGGTGACTTCGGTCCAGCCCGGCAAGATTGCGCTGCGCCTTAGGGAGATCCTGAACCCTCGCCGTCCGGGGGGTCGGCGAGCCTACTCAACTAGAACCTGGGGAAGATTCTTCTGCCGGGGGGGTACGCTGGGCGGGGGAAGCCATCAACTACCTGTCCGTGGTAGTGACAAGGCGGTGAAGCTAGTGCTCTTCTTGGAAAAGACAATGTCAGGAGGGAGCGGGTCCATGGCAGACCTCTCGCCTACGCCAGTTTTCGACTCGCCGCCTGCCCTTCCGCATGGGGGAGGTGGATACCAAACAGATCTCCTCAACCTCGCGCTGGACAGCCCAGGAGAGTCAGTGGGAGGTTCGCCACCCAAGAGGACGAGACAAGCCGAAAGCTCCCCAGGGGGGCTCTCTGACAGCACCGGGCTCGAGGAGAATGTTACCATGGAAGCCATCGCCCGTACTCTTCAGCACCAGCTGCAACAAGAAAGGCAGGTGCTCACCGGGGAAATACAGAGAGCCATGTCACAAGTCAACTCGAGGGTGGACGACATCGAGAAGATCCTCGGGGACAAGCTCGGGGATGCGGTGGGGATGTTGCAAGACCTCGCGGGGGTTCAGAAAAAGCAGGGAGAGAAGCTCGAGACGGTCGCCGCTGAGACGCAGACCCTCGCCAACCGCATCGTCGACCTCGAGTCTCGCTTACAGCAGATCGAAGCCGGAGGAGGGGGAGGGCCGCGGGGGACCAATGTGCTTGAAGATGACGCGGGGAACAGGAAGCCGGCCCTCATCATAGGGGGATGGGACCCAGACCAGCCTGGCGATGAGACCCTGACCAAAGCACAAGACGTCATCAGAGAACTTCAGCTCGACATCGATGCCGAGGAGGCCTTCGTCCCTGGACGCAGAAGAGG